AAACCCCCTGCAGTGAGCAGGGACACCCTTAACTAGATCAGGTTGCTGATCCAACTGGTCTTGAATGTTTCCAGGGATGGGGCCTCCACCACCTCTCTGGGCAACCCATTCCAGTGTTTCACCATTGTAAATTTACACCTCATTGTAAAGAATTTCTTCCTTATATCTAGTCTAACCCTACCCTGTTTTAGTTTAAAACCATTACCCCTTGTCCTGTCACAGCTGTCCCTACTAAAAAGATTTTCCCCATCTTTCCTATAGGCCCCCTTTAAGTACTGAAAGGCTGCAGTGAGGTCTCCCTGTAGCCTTTTCTTCTCCAGGCTGAACAACCCCAACTCTCTCAGCCTGTCCTTATGGGAGAGGTGCTCCAGCCCTTGAACCATTTTAGTAGCCCTCCTCTGGACCCGCTCCAACAGTTCCATGTCCAGGTTGCTTTCTCCTGCAGCCTCTCCCAGTCATGTGGAACAGCTGTACCATGGAGGCATTATACTGACTGCCTGATGGGAGCTTACTAAGGCTACAGTACTTTGCAAGCAGTTCTTGTAAAACAAACAAACCAAAAAAAAAAAAAAAAAGTGGGGTCAGTGTAACAATTGTTACAAAAATTGGGATAAAAGGAAACAAATGCATGAGATGAGGCACCTGTAAGATGGATTTCCCTGGAAATACCTGCCGGTCACAACTGCAGCGTGCTGCGTCAAGTCACTAGGGTGAAAGACATGACTTGGATGAATGGAATTTGAAACTTAATAGCAGATAGGTCTGAATCTGGGTTTTTCCCTGAAATTCAGGAAAGGCTGCAGTCATCTGACCCTCTGTTGAAGTCACCCAAAGAAAGAGATGAGAGGTCTGCGTGCAGCAGTGCAGAGCAGTAATGGAGAGGAGAGGAAAGGGAAAGAATGGTGAAAAGCAATGAAGAAGAAACCAGAAAAAGAGGGGAGATGGGTTTCTTCAGAAAACAGACGCTGAAAATATTTAGGTTTAAAGACTTTCTTGGCTACTTCTATCTAATCTTTCCTGATTTATAGAAAAGGCTTTATAGAAAGGCAAGATCAGTAAGCGAAGAGCAGCTTGTGCTCTCAGTGCTGTGCTAATTCTGAGCTTAACTGCCCTGAGGAGCCCTGTCCATAACTTAAGCAGGAGCTGGGTGGGACTTCACTGCGCTCCCCAAGCTCAGGGAGGCATTCTCCTCTTCCCAGTCCCTCCCCTTCCAGGGGGATATAGTGACTATGGGGACTCTTGAATGACCAAGCTCTGGTGTGAAATTTTCACGTGCTCCTATTATGTGTGCACTGGAAATTATGTTCCAAACTGTTTAATAGTCAAAGGTCTAATTTTACAGAAAATAGGGTAAATTTGCAGTTCTCCAGCATAAAAATCATGGTCTATCACTTTAACAGTCCTTGGCTGTTTCTTAGCATCTCTCATCTAAAGGCTTTAAACTGCAGTTAGACCTTAATGAATCAAGACTCATGATCTCCCCAGAAGGTAGGTTTGGTGCTTGTTTCATTTTTCAGACAAGCAAAGTAGGACACAGAGAGGAAGTGATTTGCCCTTCAAGGCCACATATGAAGTCTCAGAACAAATCCAAACTCTGATCTGGCCACCCACTACTTGATTTTTTGAAGACATTTTTTAGATAAATCTTGTGCCATGGCATCAATAAGGTCCTAGCATTTTTTTCAGATCAAATGTAAATATTGTCTAAGTCAAGGAAATCTCTTCTAACAAGCAACAGTTCAAAGCAAGGCCTTGTCTATTACATTATCTCATTTTCTGACCTTTCCTTCTGGGTCACATAATCTACAGTTCATGACACACAGAGACTTGTCTCAAATTTTATACTTGCATACAGAGTTGTCCATGTGCACCCTTGTGTGCTGACGCCCTGCTGCAAGGCCTTGGAGCACCCCCAGCTGCTGCAGTGAAGGGGAAACTCTCTCCGAGCCCCCTGTGCCATCAGCCGGGCTGGTGGTGTGACTGCCAGCCGCTGGGAGGCTGCAGGAATTTCGATGAGTTAATCTCATCACTTTATCACAGGGCACTTACAGAAATTACAGGGAGCTGTGAGCAGCTCACTGTGCTGGCAGCCAGCCCCAGGACCCATAAAAGAAATTGAGACACACACACAAAAAAAAGTCGGAGAACTTTGTTAAAGTTTTAGAGACAATATTTTTTCTTGGATGAGCTCTGCTTGGGTAATGCTGATTGTGCCTTCCCTGGTGATGTCCCTGTTGCCCGCAACAACGGTAGGTGTTGCCCCCAGCTGTAGCTCCCAATCCATGCAGCGCAGGGCATGTTTTGGGGCCTGTTATAAAACTCCATTTACTTTGGCAGCATTGTCTTGTGTGAAGAGGATACAGTGGGCCTTATCTCTAGCATTTGCACCTGTAAAGAGGGCTGTATAGCACACAGCTGCTGGTGCTTTCTTCCTTTAGGCTGATCACAGTGTGTGGAAGGGGCACAGGAGCCTGTGTTCAATGTGGAGGCAATAAGGCATGCTGAATGGGACATCCCACCAGTGCTGGGTGTATTTTTTCACCTGTGCTTACCCCAATGGCTGCTGCACTACATGGTGGCCTCTGCTTTGCTGTCCAGGAAGGGGAGCTTGCCCAGTGCCCACACTCCTCTGACTCTGCTCCTTTAACAGACGGGATCCCAGTACAGAAGTGCCTTTGAGAACTCCTTATTCAAGCTGTTTGTACAGTATGCATATGGTAACCAGTACCTACTCTGACACTATCACGTTTAGTTGTGATGTAGGCTTTATAGACCATTTCCAGTACTTTGCTTGTCAGGGGGTCCGTGGGCTGGAGGCATGGGGAAGCTGGGAGATCTGCTTGACACAGTGTAGAGCTGCCAGATGAGGGCTGTCACTGCCTCCCACCACTATAAGGGCTCAGTGCCCTCGGTGCAGTGTCTCTGTGTTAGGGGGCAAATTTTTGGCCTAAGGACCACAAGACATGAAACTTTACATCTCTCCAGAACTCTGGTCCTGGCTTTGGTGAGAAAGGTGAGCATTGAAACTAAGGCAAAACCTTCCAAAGTGAGACTGTGTTAGCGTTTTATCCCAGGTTTGTTACTGCTCTGTTCCTTCCTATGTGGGGCACAGCAAGTATCTGATCATGATGTCAGGGCCTCTGTACTCATGGGTCTGTAATGTGCTGGAGCTCTGTGTCTGTAGCAGGATTTTGTTTATTACCTTGAGATCAAGCCTGAATCTCAATTTCCAGCTCTCTGAGAACCTTGATACATTGCTGGCTATTGAAATTCAGGTGCTGCACAATGATGAAATACAGTCTGAATGGAAGCAACTTGTGCAGCACACGCTGCTCCTGCAGACAAGCTGCATTTTGGGGACAGATGAGCAATGGTGAGGAATGGGGTGGCTGGGCTGGAGCTTAGGGGCAAGTTGCAAGACTTGTGAGAAGGCAAGAGGTAGAAGCTTTATAACTAGCAGGAAGATCACCTTTAGGCTTTGGAGGTTGTGTGCTCCTGGGGTTTCACCCAGCATGGGACAAGCATAGTGAGATAAATCAAATGGTGCTCTCTTCCTTTTGGATCTGCCCTCTGCCTTTCCACTCAGATTCCCAATGGGCTTTCCAACTGCTTAGCTAGCCCCAAGCTCTAACACCACCCCCAGAGATCGGTATGTATCAGATTGTTGGTCTTTATTTAGAGGAAGGAAGTGTCTTGCACAAGAACACAGAAATCCATTGCAGAAGTAGGAACAAAAATCAGGTCCTGTCTCAGTGCTACTAAACTGTAAGCTCTACTTCTGCTCTGATGGTAACAGTGTGTTCTCTCAGCTCTTACCTATACTCCTCCCTACAGTTCTGACTGAACTCTTAAATCTCAGTTTCCTGCTCTAAACCACCAAACCAACTTTTCCATTCTTCTGAACTGACTCTAGAGCTTAGAAATACTTTTTGGAGCTGCCTGATTTACCCAGCAACTAGACTGCCTTAAATGTATTGTCATTGTCAATGCATCACTGTCAAGCTTAGATTTCCAGTCCCGCTCCACAGCAAACATTGAATAACCCTCTTCAGAAACATCACCTCCAAAGTGAATGGCACAATGGAGACAGACATTTCTGTTTGTTGTCTTCTAGGACTAAATCCTGTTGCATTACACTGTGATCCGGCATAATTCCACTTACATCCTCATATCAGACCCTCACATCCATGTTTGTGTTACATTCTTCACTTATGATAAAATATGATGTGACCAGAAATAAATTTGGGATGCTTCTTTCCCTGTTTTGTCTTGGAAGCAGTGTTGTGAGGTGTTGTGACATGATCATAAATGAAAGGGAACTATGAAAGAAATACTGATGCTCTGTGCAGAGGGACGAGAGGCAGGTGCACAAGGACTAACAAAGTAAATCTGGAAAGATTTGCCTGTGTTCATTTTACAGGACATCTTATCCATCTTTCTCAATCCAGACCTACTGTTTCCCTGCTACCTGTAGTATGCCAGCTGGCAGGAGGAAGCAAAGGAGGAAATGCCATCTCTGAGCTCCCTGGTCCCCCCAGCAAGGCAAGAAAGGACAGGTGACATCCATCCCACAGACATGAAGCAAGACTCGCAGTAAGGGGAACGCTGCTAATGTCTGAACAGCTCCCACTCTCAGCTCTGGACTTCAGAGAACAGGCCAGGTTATAAGGGATGCAGCATGAGGGATGATGACGTGCCTGGAGGACACATTGTGCCTGAAAGCCCAGCATTGCAGTCAGCCCCTTGGATGGACAGGCTTCTCCCAATACTTAGAGCAGTATTGCTTTTTTTCTGAAATATGGTCTAAAAAGTAGTGCTGAGCTTTCTAAGAGCCGTCATCAGCTGGCTGTGGTCTCAAAGTATGTGTGTGTGCAAATGAGTCAGCAAACATACAGTATATACAGCCTGATGGTGGTGGGAATAGCTGGGGACTGCAGCCTGCCCCTGGATCAGTGGGGAGAATGTGGTTCCTGGGTGACCATCTCTGTGTTTGATTGCAGGGAATATTGAATACAGCTGCCCGGCCACCAATGAATGTGAGATCACGAAACGGAGGCGCAAGTCCTGTCAGGCCTGTCGCTTCATGAAATGCCTCAAAGTGGGGATGCTAAAAGAAGGTAAGACAGAGTCAGACAGAATTGTTCTCTGTCCCAACAGCACCTGGGACTCCAGGTCTTGCAGGATCTCCTAGGCTAACTACACACATGCCCTCTCTGGCTTTTCAAAGGTATCTTTTTACAGGCTTTGTAAAAGTCAGGATGAACAGTAACAAAGAGGGCAGTCTAGAGAGAAGAGTGGTTCTAGTCAGCACCCTCATACTATGATATTACTTGTAACACTTGCAAATTTGACAAATAACTGGGAAGTGGCTGTGCCAGGCTGTTTCCTTTCCCAAAGGAACCTCAGGCTGGAGGATGTTGCTCTTCTTGCCCTTCAAATAATTTTGAAGTGTTGGGGAGGAGAGGCTCTTCCATGATCATGACTGGGTTGGCTGAGCTTTGTAAGGGAAGGATGGAGTTAATGCAGAGCTATGGCACAGTGTGCAATGAAGGTCTGCCCATATTCCCACTCAGGAGACTTTCTGAAGATGGTGGGTAGCACAGGTTTGTCTGAGAGCTGTGGGTTCCTGGGCCTGCCTGCTCAACCTGCATTGTGCTCAGCCTATTGATCTGTTCAGCACTTTCTGAGCAGTGTTCAGCTTCTCTCTCATGCTGCTTTTCCTCCCCCCACCCCCCTCCCTGATCCTTGTCCATTCAAGGTGAACCACAGGGAATTCAGTGGCAATTAAACACATTCTTATGGATTGACTTTAAAGCTTTGTTTCCCTTGGGTCTCTCTGGGAGAGGAATCAGGGGAGGAGGGGGACGGAAGGAGAAGCCTTGCATCTGCATTGCTGTACTGGCAGAGCACGGTGCCCTCAGTTTAACCACAAGGAACAGCAGCTGGCTGTGGTCTGCACAAGTCCAGTATGCTGGAGCCAAGATGCCAGCACACAGCTTGCTTTCAGGTCATACCATCACAGCAACTGGCGATGAATTGTACAATGTGACTTGAGCATGTATTGCTTTGCACTAGGGCGCTCTCATTTCTTGAGGAGCAAGTTGAAGGCAGCCAGTGTTGTTAAGAATGTAGATTAGATGTTAAACCATGTTCTGTTCTTTGATGGATGTGTATTTTCTGTGGTTAAATATCTCCTGCTACAGCACACCAGTTACCAAGGGGAGGAGATGCAGACTTGTGTAGCCTGGCCCTCCGTGACCTAGGTGTAGAGGTGGTAGACTCTCAGGATCTTGATCCACTGCTGGGAGGGAGGCACCTACTTTTGGAGTTAAGAGAGGGACCTTTGGAAACCTGCTTCTCTGCATGTGGTAGTTCGGGGAGTGAATATATTCCCTCACCCACACGCCAATCCACACTTGTGACACTGGCTTTAGTGGGAGCACAGATTGGTAATGCACGCTAGCCTGGTCATATGAATCCCATAAAACAACCTTAAAAGCCTCATGTGGCTCCAGTCACCCTGCAGAGCAGAAGCATGGGTCCAGACTCGCTGGCTGCCTGTGTCTGTGCTGCCCTGCATCCAAGCAGTTGAGCCTCTCCAAGCTGGCAGCTGGGGGAACAGAGTCACAGGAGCCGGCGCTGGCATGTCTGACTGTATGGCCAGGGCATCCTCTGCTTCCAGTTCTGGGAGTTCAACACAGTCCAGAAGCAGGGTCCTGTGAAGGGTTTTGTGGCTTAGCCTCCAAGTTGCGTGAAAACAGTTAACTGCTTCCAGACCAGAGCTAGGCTGCAAAGCAATGTAGGTTCAGTCCCATCATGTTGTGCCTAAACTCCTGAATGCCATGGGGTACTACTCATGGCAAGCTGAAATTTGACTGTAAGGCTGCTTTTGTGCTGAGGTGTATTTAGTTATTCATATAGGGATTGATTTGGCATCATTAAAGCCGCTGGGGAAGGGTGGTTTGCTATTGATGTTAGTGTATCTGTGATCCTGCCCATAATATTTAGAGCTGTGGCATATACAGTATAAAGATTTATTGATAGTAATGGGATACAAGAACACAAGACAATATCAAGAAGAGCAGAGGAGACTACACTAGCAATCTGCAGATAGGACTCCTGTGTCCTAATACAGAGTGGTCAAGTGATGTTGGGCAGGCATCTCTTTTTCTTTTTCTTTTGCTCAGTTTCCTGAGCTGAGAAATAAGGGTCACACTGCTTTGCTTTGCAGAAGGATTGCGAGGACCAACTAGTTAACTTTATGTGAAGCCTGGTAGAAGCACAAAGTATTAATATACAGAATTCAATCAATACACGTCTTTAAAAGCGAAATCCAAAAAGGGAGAAAAAATGGTTTTACAGACTTTGGTCTCTACAGAGCGAGGAGTTTCTGGAAAGAACAAATCCATAATTGTTTGACTTGCTCAAAAATGCAGAATTGACAAGGGATTTTGGATTAGAAAAGGTTCATTGGTCTTTTCCATCTCTGATCTGTCATCCTATTAGCTCATCCATCCCTTTTCTCTGCCAGGGCAGGAGTGTTCCCAGCTGTACATTTCTAGTAGTTTAACTGTTTTTAAAAATGCCTGATATCTTGGTTTCCCCAGAGAGCCTATTCTGCAGTCTCCAAGCACTCAATAGGACAAGATGTGTCTTGATACTTGAGCTATGATTTTTTTTCCTTTTAGTAGTTCCCCTTCCTACTTTGCCTCGGTGTACCTCTCTCTTCTTTCTTGGGTTCATCCATGACAGAAGGTTGCTAAGCCAGGTTCTTCCTCCTGCTTGATTACCAGGAGTTTGGGGAAAAATGATCTTGTGGTTAAAGGTGAGATCTAGAAACCAGTTCTTCTCCTGGCAGGTTTCTCCAGTCCTTGGCACTGGGGTGGTAACTTAGTGGGGACATTTCTGGGTAAAGAAACTGTCCTTCCTCTGAAGAAGAGTATGACACGCAATTAGTACCTAATTAAGGGCTTCATGATTTCTTTTTATTAAAGGAAGAAAGATTTTCCTCATTCTTGTTGTCATACATGATGTACATACCATCTCCTGCCTGCTAGGCATGTGAGGTGAGCCTGTTCTTCAGGCAGAAGGCACCAGTATTCAAAGATGGCAAAAACAGGTAAGCATGTCTTCAAGCTTCTGCCTTATGCTTGAAATGCTCAGCTTGATGCTGCAGGAGAGACTTAGGCCCTCCCTTTGGGAAGTGTATATGAGGGTCACCGTGTATCTTCTCTCCTCCCTGCATGGGCTGCAGCTAGGTGAGCAGCTGTGAATGTAGCCCTTTAAGATCTAGGGAGACTGCCCCTAACACAGAAGTGCAGGTTATTCAGGCAATGCCGAGTGAATGAGGATCAGGGCAGGAAGAGAGCCGATGGAGCAATCAATAGGTGTCTCAGATATCCAGGTCACTTTCTTTAAGAGAGCTCCAATCAATGCATTGCAACGAGGGAACTGCATGGACACCAGAACTTTGCTGTCTCAGGTTCTCCTGGCGTGATGCTGCAGGGCAGGCGAGACTCACTGGGGAAAGCAGCAGGCAGAAAGCTCTGCCCACGGAGCCCAGCTGGCTGAGATGTCTGAAGTGCTGGCCTGTCTGGCTGCCTGTCTCTCACTTTCCCCTTCCATCTGGAGTCTGCCCCTGGGGAGCATTAATTAGCCCCTCACTAGCAGGCTCAGATAGGAAGCCGCTGAATCTGGAGTCCAGGATTCCAGCGGACTCCAGTCCCAGTGCCCCTGTAGAGAGTCACCGTCCCCAGAAAACCTGTGCTGTGCTGCTCTTGGCCTTGCTGAAGCACCAGCCTGCAGGCAGCTGGAGATGGGGCATCTTCACAGCTTCATCCAGCAGAAGTACATGCCCCCCTGCTGTGCTAAAATCAGGGAAACCTGAGCAACCTGTGATACTGCTGTCCCCAAATGGAGAAGATGATATCTACATACATGCCTGGCCAGTGGGGATGCCCAGTGAAGGAAAGCATGCCCAGCAACCTGCAGAGGAGAGGCATTGTTCAGAGTTGGGCATCCCTGTCTCCGGCCACCCCATTGCGTCCCTTTGCTCACAGGACTGCCTGTTTTGTACCCACAATGACCAAAGTGTAGCTGTCTAACTCTGAGCTCCACAAAGTAGATCTAGATCTCTCTGGCTCTCTAGAATGATGGATAGGGAAATTTCAGTGGTTTGGCAGGTCTCTTTTAAAACCTCAATATACCTTGTCAGTTTTGGGGAGAACATACCCTTGCCATTCACGCTCTAGTCACCCATGGCCTTTCTGTTCTACAGCAATTTGCTTGTCTTCAGGAGGTAGATGTAATTTCAGATGACACATGGCTTGTGTAAGTGAGCTCAGAGCTTTGATTTGGGACATTGGCTGGTTAAACATGACCTCACAACCTTGCCCTCCACACCTCTGCTGTTTCTTTGAAGTCACAGTCCTGTGTGTCACCTTGCAGAATGGCAACGTGATGGGGACAATGATGTCAGTCCTTCTCTGTGTGTCTTGGCTGGCCACCAGGTGCCCATCAAGTTTCTCTCTCACTCCCCCTGCTCAACAGGACAGGGGGAGAAAATATGATGAAAAAGCTCATGGGTCAAGATAACGACAGGAAGATCACTCAGCAATTACTGTCACAGGCAAAACTCAACTTGGGGAAAATTAATTTAATTTATTGCCAGTCAATAAGAGAGTAGGATATTGAGAAATAAAAATAAAAATAAAACCACCTTCCTCCCACTTCTGCTTCTTCCCAGGCTCAACTCACTCATGACGTTTACCTCCTCTCTCCCCAAGCAGTGCAGATGGATGGGGACTGGGGGTCTGTGGTCAGTTCACAACGCTTCATCTCTGCTGCTCTTTCCTCCTCACTGCTGTTCCCCTGCTCTAGAGCAGGGTCCCTCTCAGGAAAAGCAGTCCTTCGTGAACTTCTCCAACATGAATCCTTCCCATAGACTGCAGTTCTTCAAGAACTGCTCCAGCATGGGTCCTTTCCACAGGGTACAGTCCTTCAGGAAAAAACTTCTCCAATATGGTCCTCCACAGGCCACAGTTCCTGCCAGAAAACCTACTCCTGCATGGGCTCTTCTCCGCGGGCTGCAGCTGCAGCTCCTACCAGGCGCCTGCTC